ATTCTGACAACCCTATAATGAGGCAGCATCTAATGGCATAACTTGGGGGGGCAGCAGGCAGAGCAGTTTTGTTTTCAGTGTGCCTGCTGCCCCCTTTCCGGCCAGAGTGTCCCAGGCTAAGAGCAGGGCAGGGAGATGTGTAAGGGTCATACACATCTCCCCGACCCGGCTCTTAGCAACCTGGGATGCTCTTGCCAGTGTCCTGCCGAGCTCCTGGCAACCAGTGACGTTGCTGATTGCCAGGAGCTCGATGGCACCATTGCTAATATCTGAACAATTCTCAGAGATAAGCAAGCTCGGGACGCTGATGCCCTACATTGCACTCACGCTGACAAGAAGGAGAGGAAAATGTTCCTGACAATGTTTACAATAATTTGATAAATTAGATTATTATGCAATGGATATCATTATGTACTCCTTCCAGGAGAGAGCCTGATCTATCCGAGTGGGTCTTAGCAGCATGTGACACTCTTACCGGCATCCTGCCGAGCTCCTGGCAACCAGTGATGTCACTGGTTGCTAGGAGCTCGGCAGGACGCTGGCCAGAGCATCCCAGGTTGCTAGGAGCTGGGTGGGAAGATGGAGAGCCATTACATGTTTCCCCACCTGGTTCTTAGTGGTGTCAATCTCCACCAGCACCACCCAGCAACACACACGCACCCACCCACCACTCTAGGTGGCAAAGGGGCTAGGGATGTCTCTGGCCCCACCGTTGACCCTTTTAAATATTAGCACACCTGCTGAGAAATGCTTTTCAACCTCTAAAACCATATTAAAAGAATATATCAATTCCAAGTTAAAATAACATGATGTTATGCTTAATGACTATTTTTATACTGACCTTAGTACCATTTTTTGGCATGCCAGGAATAGAGGTTACTATAGAGGTCAGGAGTTCTGGCATCCCCACCATGCAATGTCCAGCCTATATGCCATTCAGTATCAAGCAGGTGATCCAAAAGCTTACCCTCCAACATTTTGAGGGCAAAATAAGTAAACCTTGCCCAGCACACCTAATATTAAAGTGGACCCAGTGTCAGACATATATTTTATTGGTATGTGCATGATAGGTCAAGTGTCAATGGAACACTTATAGGTATCACAGAGATGACAGTCCCCTCCCTGACAATACCTTTATCTTTTCTCTCTAGAAGGACGGAACCATCTTTCTTTCAGGCATCATCCAGGATCACCATCTACACCCTGGATTAAGATGCTGGCTCAGAGATGACACAGTCATGTAAATCTTGATGTCTGTACAGCACTTGGCTGTGTAACAAATGTCTGACATAAATAAAACCCGGTTGGAGTAATAAGTGACTTGCTAAATGTTCCGGTGTACAGTCTGATCACAGCAGGAGAGAGGACAGCAGAAATGCTTCTTCTTGCCTGCAGCAGACTGATGGCACCGTCCCAGCCTAGGCACTGCACTGGAGCTCGAGGATGGCTTATTTAATTACAAAAGGTAGAACTTTTCATGAACCACCGCATTGTAGCTGTATAGTGTGACACGTCAGGAAAGTACCCATGCAGACTTGTACATTTTCACATTTAGGGCCAGTTCACACCACTAAGGTGAGTTCTAGAGCGGTAGCTGCTGGAACGCACAGTAATCGCACACTAAACTCCCCCCTTCGTTCTGGGACAGGAGGGGGCGTGGCGTGCATGCTGCATTTTTTGCTTTCACACTGCACCAGAAAGCAGGCAATACTTTGCCTCGCGTCCGATCGCACTGCAGGCAGGGGGTGTGGCTACGGTGTCGTTGACTTCAATGCACTGCCACACCCCCTCCCAGCCCAGAACGAAGGGGGAGTTTAGTGTATGATTACTGTGTGCTCCAGCAGCTACCACTCTGGAATGCACCGTAATTGGTGTGAACTGACCCTAAGACTCTCATTTGTAGCAGCTTGTTATCTGATAACTGATATCTGTGCTCTGCCCTGTACATGCTCAGTTGTGCTGACACAGAACATTTTATCTTAGAATGGCGGAAAGTAACATGAATATTTGGGGTTAAGGTGACATATAGTTAGAAAGGTAGATAAAATTCAATCTCTGTAGGGTTTGATGTGTTTGGCCTAGGCTTGTAGGGATTTTTTTGTGCCTTCCTCTGGATCAATTTGCTGTAAGTATGCAAAGGAGCCAAACTGGGGATAATATTTGTCTTCTGACTGCACACACATTATAATCAAAATGTTTTGGGGGGGTGAAAATCTCTCTTGGAAATTGTGCAAACACTACAAGAGAGCACAGCCAGGCTGGTGAACTAACATTTATATCTGCGACAGTTGAGCAATAAAGATAGGTCACCTCCCTGCCCCCAGCCTGTGAAGCGCAGGAAGCAGCAACAGGCAGAGGAAGACATCTCTCTGCTCTTTACTCCTGTCACTATGTCTCTTGTCAGTACATGGCCATGCTGCACACTTTAAAGCAGAAGTATTGAGAGAGTAAAATGTATTCTTCCCAATAGTTTGAGCCCCAGTGTGACACTGCAGCTGTCACGCGCTGGCTCTATAGCTCGAGAACTGAGCGATCACATCCGATGATCGGTCAGCTTAGGCTTTTTCCTGCAGAGAGCGGTGACTGTCAGTCACCGCTCCACGCAGGGATTTCCCCCCTCCCTCTTTCTGTTTCTCCAGCTTTCATAGGAGGGACAACAGGGGAGGGGGCAGGCACAGCTGGCTCTGGCTCTAGAGAGGCAAAGCCAGCTGTCAATCAGGTAGCGGGGTGGATCCCGACAATATTGTTGGGATCTCTTCTGGCTGCAGTGCGGCTCTGTGCTGTCAGCATATAGCGGGCAAAAGCCTGCTATATGCTGACCTAGGGTCACAGGAGGACATGAGTGAATGTACTTCTGTCAGTCAAAAGAGAACTATAGCCAAAAAAAAAAAAAGGTTTGGCCGTAGTTCTCCTTTAACAGCCCCAGTTGCAGCACCTTCCTCTCCCAGTCTGAGTTCTGCTGTACAGGGAAACACAAGAGACTCAAATAAAGTAAAATTCACATGTTTATATTTGTTGGATTTAAAAATAAATGTAATGTTTTTTTTAATAAACACATAACTATATTTGTTTGTGTTTTGTTATAGTTTGTTGTTTAGCTGTAATATGTACCGCACAAACATTATTCAATAAACAAAAAGTAAAATGCAATATTTTTTTTCCTAAACAATTTAAGAAAACGCTGCATCATTCCATTCTTCTTCAGAAAAACTGGTGAAGAAAGCTGTCTAAATTTAATACAGCCTTCGCTTTCCCTACTACACATGCATTATGCTAAGTCATTCCCCATCTGGGAGCAGAGCCGACTACAGTATGTAGTAGAGATCATTACACTGTAAGAAATTATACTAAATAATTCAGCTCCAGGCTCCATTTTACAGCCATGATAGAGTTTCTGCTTCAAAATAAAACTAAACAAACAGGTAACGGCTGATACAGAAAATACGCAGAAGAACAATGAGCAGTTTTACATCTCTTTGGGTGGATGAAAAAAAAAAAAGAACAGAACTAAATGAAAAATAATAAAATAGGCTGGCGAATAGGCAAGAACCTAATTTTAAAAAATATATATATAATTTAAAAAAAAAGGAAATACTACATTTTAAAGGTACTGTATACACTTTTTCATTTTTTTTTTCATTTTTAAATATAATTTTTTTGAAAATAAATAACAAAAGAACAGATTCAAAGAACATGACAAAATAAATAGGAATAAAAGAAAATTATGACAATGTATGTTTTTGCAGAGCATACATCTGAAGATCTTTACAGCTAGCGATGGCTGTTACATACAACTGTTTGAGCGGCTATTAACACCCCCCCCCCACCACCACCACTTGTATGGTGCCGGGGAGTGTGTGCCCCCTCTGCCACCCATGTGGGCCCAGGACCGGCATGGCAGGT